TATTTTATGCAAGGGAAAAACATATTTTTACCTTGTGTTTCAGAGAGTTCTATCTGACTGTAATTTGTAGAATGGATTTTACATCCTAGAGTGAATGCAAGTAGACCAAGTAACAGATATTGGTAGCTTGGACCAGGGTGGTGGTGTAGACACATTAATGAGAAACATAAAATATACAATTGCTAGAACTTGATAAATTGGGTGTTCTTTTTGCCTGCTTTCTTTCTCTGTCTCTCTCTTCTCCTCTTTCTATCCTTCCTTCCTTCTTCTTTCTCAGAGTTGCCAAAGATTTGTCTGTTTTATTGGTCTTTCCTGTGAGTCAGCTTTTGGTATTATTGATCAACTTTACCACTGTTTCTAATTCATTAATTTCCGCTTTTCTATTTATTAATTCCCTTAACAACCACACAATATTACCTTTGACTGATGGTCTATTCGATAGCAAGTCTGCTGGAACTGGCGTATCTCTCTGATGATGTGTGATATCTAATAAAGAAACAATAACAACAAAAGCAAAGCAAAAGGATTGCATCACATTCTTCTGGGCCCTACCCACAAGCAGTCAGGCATTTTCTCCAGTGAAGTGTTGGAGCCGGGCCCTATCATTCTCTATGCCCAGGGGTTTCTTGCCCTTCAAAGAGTCACGTGAAATGTAAACGGCAAGAAGATATTGCATTCACAATCAGAAGAACAGGTAGCACCGGGTGACCTCAGGTTCAGCAGGTGGTTTACTTCAGGTGGTAAACTCTGGGTGTTATTTTCCTGGGCTCCTTGCTTCTAACTTGGTGCTCAGAACCTGGTTGTCCAGCACAAAGCTTTCAGCACCTATCACTGCTCCATCTTAGAGAGTCATCCCTGGAGTTATTCCCCACCCCTTTGCCCACAATGCAAGCTGCAACACCCCTGCTGACAATCAGCCACATCACATATTAAACCTGATGGCCCCCAACTCTTTCACCTCAAAATGAAAATGCAAACAGTAACCTCCATGACTTAGCCTCCCTCTTCTCTATAAGCCATTGAAGTCATCAAAATAGGCTGATTATGAAATTACTACCTACCATTCTCATTTTGGAGAAATTGACAAGGCCTTCCTCAGTAAAGTTTGGTGTTCCTTCTTCAATAAATGCTAGGTCTGTCAGGTACATCCCCAGATAAGGAACAGCTGGGGGGTTACAGCTGCAAAACCAAGGAACACTGTTCTCAAGCTCATTCACAGAAATATCGAATTCCCTCCCCTGTTTAACAGGATGTAGTATACTGCTTCAATCCTGAAGAATAAAGTCTTTTAATCCCATCTTCAGAAGCACTCTCCTGATATTAAGAGTTTTAAATACATCTCACAATAGACTATAATAGAAAATTACAGCCCATACTTTACAATGTGTTTGAGACAATGGCGCATTCAAACAACAGGATGCCTTATAGACAAATACAAAACAGGTGCTGGCAGTACTTGGAAACCAGCTGTATGAGCATGTAGGAACCCCCTGAGCCCTCACCTCTTTAGAGTGTAAACAGGAAACTTTAAAGAACTGGGTAGAAAAATCAATGTGATTAGAGCTTGTAAAGCTTGCGTTCTGATTTAGTTAGTATTTCAGTGTTTTAGAAGGTATAGACTTAATTAATATCACGACCGCACACTACATAGATGCCTTGTGTTTGGTTTTTGAGGGGGGTGCACTTGGTCTTCTCAGAGTCAAGAGTGAGGCCATGGACTTCTGGACCAGAGACAACTGGGTCTGAGTCCCAGTATGACCACGTACTGAGTGATGCTGGTCAACCTCTATGAACCACAGTCTCCTCATCTGTAAAATGGAGACAATAAAACTTATCTCTTTAGTTCACTGTCAGGCTTAAATCAGACACATGGAGCACTATGCATGGCGTCTGTCATGGAGTAAGGATCTGGTGTAGTTCTTCTACTGATGTTGTTTTTCCTACAAGTCTTCTGTTTGCTTATGGCATCACAGGACTAACGTTTTCCAGAGCAAGTCAAGTATGTGCAGTAGATCATAAGAAAACCAGCTGCAGGAGAACAGGTTCTATTCTCTCTCTCTCTCTCTCTCTCTCTCTCTCTCTCGGTCTGTCTCAGGAGACAGTAATGACCCAGCAATAAAAGGCCACAAATACATAACAATAATTAATAGGTCCTAGAATATTTTTGAAAAGTCACAAGAAATCATGTGCTGTGCTTAGATTAATAAATATCAAACCAAGAAACTTCTTATAGTAAAACATGTTTGATTTTATAGTAAAAGCTGGCGTGTTTTCTTCTTGCTTGGGACAGTCTACATGCCATGAGTATATCCACAAGACACTGTATGCATAGTATTTCAAATGAAAAGAAAAATTAGGAAAATATCTAGATGATGGAAGTTATTTCCCATTTGTTTTTCTTTTCAAAGCAAAGTAGGAGGCAGGCCACTATGTGTATATTGTAAACATTATTTAAATATATTTTTGCATTATGAATAACTTAATAATTAAGATAAACATACTTTTTAAGGGTTTCTCTGAGATTTTTAAATCTTCCTTCAGATGAAACAGTCTTCTGAAGTTTGTCCATTAGAGCTTTTGTCTAGAAAGAAACAAATGAATTAGTATGTCATGAAAATTTTCCTATGTTTTGACAAGACAGGTAGGGTTACCAAAAGATGCTCAATTCCCTTCTACAGTGGCTGGGGCTGACACCTTTGTCAGACTGTTGTTATGTGACAGACGTGGGGCATTATGGTTAAATTTCATGTTAAAAAAAACAACATGTGGAGAAGAGAAAGTGACTACACTGCTCATTTAGCCAAAAAGAGGAAAATCCATAGAAAAAAATTGCAATGGCACAAGAAGCAGGGATTTAAAGAATTGACAAAGCACTGTTGAATTAGGGAACCTTAAAGGAGAGGTCTCATGTCAGGTGGTTTTCAGGGTGAATCTTTCTGTGTGTTAATTTCCAAATTATCAAAACACAGACTTGGTTGCTTGGCTATCTTCTACTACAAACCCCTTGTTTTGTGATCACAGTCATCAACTTGTTAGAGAAGTATAACTGATGTTTGCCAAGAAATAAAACTGTTGTCGACGTCAATCTGGAGTCTCTTCCACAGACATGGGAGAATGGTAGGGTGGCCCTTGGGGGTGATGAGCCACCCCTGGTAACACCCATGCCTAGGCAAGGGAGCAGGGACACTTGGAATGCCCAGGCTGGGACCCCTCAGATGACTCTGCCTCAGTCTAGGGAGGAGCTGCATGCTTCAGGAGAGCTTTCAGAATGACTCAAAGGGCTGCCTTCCTCATCCTGCTTCCTGAGGACTCTGAAAGAGGACAGCCAACAAGGTCTGGGCAGGGGTGGAAGGATAGGAGGGGGCTGGGCTGGGTTGGGCAGGCCTCCTGCCTGGCCCAGAGCTGGCCTTGGGTGAAAGAAGCTGCAGAAATATAGTCTGTCCTATAGCCACAGACCAGATTCAGTGGGCTTCATAGTTCACATTTACCAGGCCTTCTGGATGTCCAGACTGGACTCAGATCTGAAGAAGAGACAGCTACAGAGCAGACAGTATGACAAGAGCATCTGGAGCAGGGCATATCTGCAACCAGGCACTACCTGTTGTGACTAGACTGAGGTCCTGGGCCCCAGAGGATAAGTCCATCACCCATCCTAAAGCCCCTTTAGATGATACATATATATGTGATTGAAATGGTATTTAATCTATTATGCCTATTTAATGCCCCTACAGGTAGTACATTCAAATTTGAAAAAAAAGATTTTAATATTAGTCTTATCACCCCTATTCCTTAGTCCATTATCCCTGAAGCTGCATCCTGTCAAACACATAAATATCACTTAAGTCAACTATGGGGAAGGCCTAACGTTTCCTTCTTTTTCTCTCAAGTTTTTAAATTCCAGTTAGTTAACGTAAAGTATAATATCAGTTTCAGAGGTAGAATTCAGTGATTCATTACTTATACACAACACCCAGTGCTCATCCCGTGCCCTCCTTAATACCCATCACCCGTTTAACCCACCTCCACCCCGCCCACCTTCTCTCTAGTAACCCTCTCAGTTTGTTTTCTGTAGTTTAGTCTGTTTTCTCTTTGCCTCTCTCTCCCGCCCCCTCCCCATATTCATCTGTTTTGTTTCTTAAATTCCACATATGAGTGAAATCATTCAGTATTTGTCTTTCTCTGACTGACTTATTTTGCTTGGCATAATACTCTCTAGCTCCACCCATGTCTTGCAAATGGCAACATTCCATTCTTTTCTATGGCTAATATTCTATTATATATAAATATACCACATTTTCTTTTTCTATTCATCAGTTGATGGACATTTGGGCTCTTTCCATAATTTGGCTATTGTAGAGAATGCTGCCATAAACATCAGAGTGTATGTATCCCTCCGAAGCAGTATTTTTGTATCCTTTGGGTAAATACCTAGTAGGGCCACTGCTGAATCATAGGCCTAATGTTTTCTTAAAGAAGATTTAAGAATCCCTTGGTACCAACTTCAGATGAAAAAGAAATAGGGGAAAGTGAATGAAAGAGAAGGCAGAGGAGTGACTTACTGACCTCGAGGAAATGTGACAATGTGTGTGACAGGATAATATGCTCTTTGTGTCTAATGCCCAATGGCTGAGGCCAACATTGTCTTAGGGGGAGGCAAAAGCTAGCCACAACAAGGGCATCAGTGTCCAGCTTTTCGATTCTGATACAGCTGTCTGAAACCCGTTTTAAAAACAGTATTTCAACAGCCATCATAACAGAAATCTCTCAAAAAAACTAGGAAGAGAGGATAGTTTCCTCAATTTTATAAAAAGCATTTACAAAACACCTACAGCTAGCATTATCCATAATGGTGAAAAACTGAATGTTTTCCCCACAAGGATGAAGACAAGGAAAGTATGTCTTTTCTCACCACCCTAATTCAACATAGTATTGGAAGTTTAGCCAGAGCAATAAGGCAAGAAAAGGAAATAAAAGGCATATGAATTAGAAAGAAAGAAATAAGACAGATCCTATTTACAAGTGACAATTGTCTATATAGAAAATCCGAAGGCATCTACAAAAAAGCTCCTAAGACTAATTAGTGAGTTTAGCAAGGTTGCAGATACATCACCAACATAAAAAAAAAAATAAATAAATAAATAAAAAAATAAAAAAAAAAATCACATTTGTATATACTAACAATGAACATGTGGAAATCAATAATAAAACCACAGTAATATTTAAAATTTCCCCACAGAAAATGAAATATTTAGGCATAAATCTAACAAAACATATACAGGACTTTGCATGCTGAAAATTTCAAAATGCTGGTTTAAGAAAGCCTGAAGAAATGGAGAAACATACTGTGTTTGTGGACTGGAAAATTCAACATAGTAATAAGACTCAACACTGGTTTAATGAAATTTCAATAAAAATGTCAATAAAGGGGCAATGGGTGGCACAGGTGATTAAGTGTCTGACTCTTGATTTTGGCTCAGATCACGATCTCACGGTTCATGAACTGGGCTCTGTGCAGACAGGGCGGAGCCTGCTTGGGATTCTTTCCCTCCCTCTCTCTCTGCCCCTCCCATACTTGATCTCACTCTTTCTCTCTCAAAATAAATAAACATTAAAAAAATCTCAATACAGTTTTTTTAGACATAATTTTTTTTACTAAAATTTATATGGAAACTCATAGCACCTAGAGTAGCTAAAATAATTTTGAAACGGAAGGATAAAGTGGGAGGAATAGAGAACGAACTCTCAGATCTCAAAGGTGAGAAAAAAATCCAATTAAAAAATAAGCTGCAGACATTTCATTGAAGAGAATAAACAGATGGTAAACTAGCATATGAAAAGATGTTTAACAACATTAGCCATTAGGAAAATGCAAATTAAAACAATAATGAGATATCAAAAGGGCTAAAATAAAAAACTGTGATAACACCAAATGTGGGCAAGAATTTGGAGAAACTAGCTCACTCATACTTGGCCGATAGAAGTATAAAGTGGCGCAGCCACTCTGGAAAAGAATTTGACAGTTTCTTATAAAACTAAACACACAATAACCATATGATCCAGCAACTGCACTCTTAGGCATTTATCCCAGAGAAACAAAAAGTTATAGTCACACAAAACCTATACATGAATGTGCACAGCAGTTTTATTTGTAACAGCCCCAACCCGAAAACAATCCAGATGTTCTTCAAGGGGTGAATGGCTAAAACGTCCTGTATTTATACCATGAGTACCACTTAGCATTAAAAAGAAACTAAATACTGATACATGTAACACCATGAATGGATCTCACGGGAATTTTTAAAAGGGCAATCTCAAAATGTCATATATTGTATGATTCCACTTATATAATGTTCTTGAAATGATGAAATTTTATAGAGATGGAAAACAGATTTTTGGTCACCAGGAGTTAGGGAGGGGCAGGGAGGAAGCAGCTATGGCTATAAAAGGGTGGCAGGAGGGATCCTGGTACCAAAACCGTGTTGATCTTGACTACCGTGGTAATAAAAGGGCATAAATGTAAATACACACAGACACAAATGAGTGTATGTAAAACTGATGGTTTGAATGAGGTGAGTGGACGTTTCCAATGCTAACCTCATGGGTGGGATATGTTTATACTTACACAAGAGTTTACATCGGGGGGCAATTGGTGTAGGGTGTAGGGGATTTCCATTATCTTTTACAAACTGTATGTGAACCTACAATGATCTCAACATATAAAGTGTTTTTTTAAAAACAGTACTTATAGAAGCTGTGGCTTTTATTTGCAAGGTCCAGGCTTTGTTGACAGCAAAACAATTTGCCTCTGGCACCAGTAGGATGTGGAGGAGTCTGGAAAATTCTCCCAACGCCCTTTGAGAGGCCCAAGGTAGCTGTCTGCTAATAAAGGAGTAAGCCTGCCCACCACGGATCACCAAGGGCAGGGAACCCTGTAGGAAAGGAAGGACACACCCGATTTCAGAGGACCAGCAGAGCCAGTGAGAGCTGAAGGGCAGGTGAGCTCAGCTAAGCCCTCAATCGCTGCGCCCCTTTGATGGGCAGACCAGGCAGACCATACATACACCTGACATAGGCAATTCACGGCAGCCCGAACCCAGTGACCGGCTAGCAGAAGGCTACAATAGGTGGGTGCACACCGCCTCCCTCAAGCCCGGAGGCGCCCTTCCCAACACCCACCAACACCCAGGGAGAAAGCCAGGAGAAAGGGCACGGAAGAAACTGATTTCATTTGCACATTGAAAATGTTGAATGAAAATGAACAAACTGAATCCAGTTAAAAGAAAATTAAGAGGGTTTTCTGTACATCTGAGTCATTATGCCAAAACTTTACTATATAAAGGACAAACAAAAAAAAAGTGAACATTGAGGTCCTAAGGCAGTCATACCTTTGCTTTGGGGAGAAAGAATGGATCTGCAGGACATCTCTGTGTTCACTTGGAATCAACGTATGTTCTCCAAATAATTTTGGAAACAACTCCAGTCAACTACACTGTTTGAAGTTGTCCCAAATATGTTATAATGAATGTTTTGGGTTGTATTTGCTTTTCTAAATTAACCAATTAGAAGTGCACATGAGTGGAATCAATTAAGTGGTAAGAACGCAGTAATTACCCGCACTGGCACCTTTCTTTGGCAACTGAGCTGCTCAATTCAGTTAATTATTTCCTCATTAGTAATATTTCTCTTGGCTCTTGTCTCCCAGCCTCTCCTCTCGGCAGCGGGATGTGTCACACGCTGGTGCTCACCTGCTTGGACACCTTGGCCCAGGTTTTCTTCAGCCTATAGATGGCACTTCGGTTTAAGGCCGAGGTGATCTCCAGCACGCCATTGTAGTTGTGCAGGCATCGGCAAATGTCTGCCACTGCCACCCACTTCTCTATTGCGTTGGCACGGGAGCTGATATCGGCATAATTCATTATCTGGGAGGCCACCAGGTTGCTCATCTGAGACAGTGGAAAAGCCAAGAGAGACCAGCCAAGAGTCAAAGCAATGCATTCAGGCAAAGTGCCTAATTTACCCACGGAAATGTCAGGAAAGCAGGGTGCTGAGGGACAGGGAGATCACAGTCCGTATTTAGATACCAATCTTCTGAAAAGACTGAAGTGTATAGTAATAATAACAACAAGAAACTAACGGGAACCTGTTCATCCTCAGAGTGAACAGGAGGGGTTGTTTGGAATCAACATGTTGGGAGGAAAGGATCACTTTTTTAATCAGTAATTTTGATGAAGGAGTTATTTCCAGTAATTGAGGAAATGAAATAGAATAAGCTGACCCTTGAGGAATGGCAAGCTTCGCTGATTACGAAGCGAAAAGTTTCACTTTTGGGGGGGGTGCTCTCCACATGCTCTTTCGCCCCCAACATGTGGGGACCAGGAAGCTCCAGTTATCACGGGAAAGAAAACACATTTACCCCCAATCAAATCAAATTCTAACCCAATACACTTTGAAGCCAGACACATTTAGGGAGAGGGGAAGAGAGAACATTTATTCCTTTTTATCTCACTGGACTTGTTTCCATCAGAGTTAACAGGACTTACAGTTTCAAGGCTAAGTACTGTAATTCTATTAATTGAAACCAAGAGAAAAAGAGGCAGCAGCTGAAGCAGCTCAATATTTAGAATATGGAAAGGAAAAGAACAGCTTAGGACTGATGACTAACAGAGAACACAGGATATGTAATCTTATATCCATACACTTAATCTAGTGGGTATACCCATTCTTTGACCATTCCATAGGTATATTAGATCTCACAGTGCCTCAAAATTATCATTGTATATATTCATTAAAAAAAATTTTGTACTGAGCTCCTAGACAAGGCCTTCTTTTAGGTTCTCAAAACAGGACCAAATAAATGAGAATACCTGATCTCAAGGCACTGAGCCTAGTTAGGCAGCAAGGTGAAGGGAGACAGACATAAACAAGTAAATATCACATAGTGAAATGCAAAGCTAGGTCTGCATGGAGGGGTTTGAGAACATGGAGGTAGCATGGGGCATTTGGCCAAGTACAGAGGAGGCTTCCAGAAACAGGTCATGCCTGCACAGAGTCCTAAAGGCTGACCAGGAGTTAGCCACTGCTTTCCATCAAAGGAGAAGAGCATTTGGAAAGGGACAGAGGTAGAAGGCACGGTGTAACAGAGGATCTTGCAGGCATCTGAGGAGCACAAGGAAGCCATGAGAGGCACAGACGCCAGGTAAGCAGGGCTCCTGTAGGCCTGGTTGAGCAGCTGGGACTGTATGCTGAAGGTGAGAGGAAGCCACTGGCAGAATTTTGTTATGAAAATGGTATAATTAGATTGGTCTTCCAGAAAGGTAACTTCTGTGACACTGTATGAAGAAGGGACTTGGGGGACAAGGAGATGGCAGGGGCGATAGTGAGTTAGGAGCTCCTAAAGAAAATGATGAAAAATCAAATCACGGTCATGGCAGTGGGAAAGAAGGGGAAAAGAAGGGTCTGGGAAATATGTAGATTTAGGGTTCACTAATATGTTTGGGAGCGAGATGGGATGGGTAGCAGAGAAGGAGTCAAAGATGACCTCTAGATTCTATGCTTGGATGAGTGAGCGTGTGGTCTTGGCCACTACCCAAGACTAAGAATAAAGCATCAGATGTAGAAGTAGGCTTGGCAGGTCTGGGAGGTACCAATGAATGATAAGTTCCATTTGCAATCTGTTGAAGGCACAAAATGAGTGGCCATCCTGGTAGACACATGAGAGTCTGGAGCCTGGGAATAAACTTCTGATTTGATTGTTCGTTATATCCCAAGTGTATGTAGGCACAGACAATACAGGCTTGTTTTCTACAGCAGGGGCTCTGCTTCTCAGACAGTAGCCTACAGGGGCCATGTGTCCTGTCCTTTAGGCACCGGGGCCACGGATGCACATCATGAGATAACATTCACTCAGCGTATATGCAGTCTGCATGTACCCTGTGCAAAATACCATCTCGGGAATTTGTTGTTGTTTTGCATTTTGATTCTGGATGACTTATTAATTTACCTACAGGGATCCTGATAGTCTTCTTCTTTTTTTTTTAACATCATCATTATTCCTTTGACTGTAATCTAGTAGAACTGGAAAGGGAGCCTTCCCTTTGCCTAGATAAGCCTGAAGATACTCCCACATATGTGGTTCTGCAAAAGGACTGAGATGATTAGAACAGAACCAGTTAGGAGTTAGGAGTTGGTGGGTTTAACAGCAAGGCCATCTTACTGCTGGAGAAAAGCAGAGCCGGGAGATGGACTGACAGCTGGTCAGCAGTGTGCACAGCTACGACAACACTGTAATTATGCTCAAAGGGGTCCCTTCCAAGCCTGGAATGCATATGTGCTGAATGTTCAGTAATAATGAGGGTGATCTGTACTAACCCAACCTTACTGTCACGAGCACCCCTGGGAACCGGTGACACATGTGCTATTAGAACTAGTCAGTGTATGACCATGAAGTAATGATGATTATGCTAAAATAATAGCAGCGACCTATGCATTATTGAGCACTTGCCAGACTTAGGTACCACCAAGAGTGAACCTCATGTCTGGAAGTTAAATGGAACTTATTAAACTTGGAGCTCTTAGAGAAGATATAAGCTTTTTTTTTTTTTTTTTTT